GGAACACCCTCCCGAAGTTTGGCACATTCCTCCTGGGACACCCTGTATATTGTGAGGTGTTGTGCTATGGAGGACACCCCCTTCCTCCCCAGTGGTGAATTGCCATCAGAGCGCTGTCATTACTACGGCAACAGGAAAGTCAACACTCCTTCCCCTACCCCACCAGCGGTGACATAACACTTTCGGAGCATTGGTGTTGCTACGGCAATAGCCCAGTCAACACCCCTTTCCCTGCAGTGACGTAACACGGGACGCTGCAGTTGCCATGTAGCCCTAAAGAACTCCTGGCAGTGAAGGCCAGCAGTGCCGGTAAACACATGACTAGGCAACAAGGAAGCAAAGCGTTTTCCCATTGTCCGGCTTAGGGTTTATAAGAGAACTACACTGCCTATGAAGTCAGTTAAAGTGTAGCAGCCTACGAAGCGAGTTAAAGTGTAGCAGCCTATGAAGTGAGTTGAAATGTAGCAGCCGCTGAAGACAGTTGGAATCTAGCCAGCAGTGAGCAGTTACAAGTGAGTGAGTGATCAGCAGCCGCCAAAGACAGTTGAAATGTAGCAGCGGTGACCCAGTTCATTTCTGTATGGGAGGCTATGAAGAAAAGAGTCAGTTGCAGGAGTGCTCAGTTAAAAGTCTGGCTATGAAAAGAAGACTTTATGTGTGAATTTTTAGTGTGTAATTCAGTGAGACTGTTATAGTTCCTGTTTTGAATCATTTGCCATGGAATGGCTAGCTGAGACTGTGGTAGATTGAGGATGATAGTCTGTTGTGTCAGTTACCTGTAAAGTGTCACGTGTCATGAGTGTATAAGTAGGCAATAAATCAAGTCACCAATCCAAACCCCATCTGTAGTCACCCCTATCCATCCACAAAGTCTACCCTGTTTCAGTAGAGGCTGTGCCAGTTTTATAACAATGCTCATGGCACTGGCACTATCAGCTGTGATCAGTGGGGTCCCAAGTGTTGTGTGTTTGCCATCTTTATGCACTACAAAATTAGCACAAAAGGGGCTCTTAGGGTGGCACATAAACTTTAATAGTCCCCCTCCCATAATCTGGTTGATGGGCTGGTTTTTTTAAACTCCCTTAAAAGTGTGAAATGCAGTGTTTATGAGCTGTAAGCTGCAAATAAAAGCTGGATTATTAAGAATTAATCCATTCAACTGTATTAAAAATTCTTAAATACTTTGTGTGTATGCTTAGTTTGCATTTTTTGTTTTTTTAGAATGAGTTTCATTATTTTCACTTGTTAACTTGATTGTGATTTTATATTTAGCTCTGAATTGTGCCAGAGATATTAAACAACAATTGTACATTGCACAGCCATGAATTATGGTTCCGTACTTCTTCCCTGCCCCCTTATGGGACTGTTTTTATTTGCTCGTTACAGGTCACCAAATTGAATGTAACTGGGGTCATTCTGTACAATGGTTTTTCTGTTCAAAGAACAGACAGTGTATACATATCATATAATAGATAAACTTCAGCTGTGAGAGACTATCCTGAGAGGTTGGTGAGATAGAAAGCACACAGGGTCAGCTCTTTCTGCTTCAGTCTCTCTAATGACTTTTCAAGTTTCTTTGTCCCAAATCTCACACTGTGAGGACATGAAGTCATGAATTTAAAAAATCAACACTTGCACAGAGATGAAATTGAACGTTGGGGGCAACTGAGAAAGACTTTGATGAAACAGATATGGAGGAAGCTGACGCGACAGAACAGACTCGTGTTCTCCCATGCCAAAGTGTGTGTGAGCAAGGTTGACCATTAGGTCAGTCAAATAGGTGTGCCCATGATGACAACACAAATGACAGTTCTGATGATGAGTCGATTTCAGTCCCATGTGCACCTCAAAGTGTGTGCATGGTTGGATATTTAATAGTGAATGGAAAACTGGATCATTTCTTGCGCCACCCTGTATGTGACTGCAGGTATGACAGAAACAATTTCACTGTGAAACAGTTGATAGAGAATGTGGAAGATGTGGGCATAAGTTACATATCTATGACTTTTTTTGGTTGCTTGAGTTGTTTAATAATCTGGAAAAAAAAAAAAAAAGGACTTCTGGGACAGTCACAACAAACAGAAGGGGCATGCTATTGATCTCTCCTTGTTACTGCCTCTTGTTGGTTTCTTGCTTGTCTTTCCCTTCAGTCCTGAAGATGGAGGCAGTATGTTCCTTTGAAGTGTTTGTGGACTTTACCAGGTTACATGGCTTTACATCACAGAAGGCAGTACCCTTAAAGATTTATTGTGCATGTTTACTGTGGGGCACACCCCAGAGTAACACCAGGGAAAGCAGCGTATGGTCTGCCAGGAAATCTTGAAATACAATTTAAAGACCAGTTTATGGTCATAGGCTCTTTAAGGTTAGTTATTTTAATGTTTGGTGTTTTATGAAGAGGAGAAGAATAACTTTGTTGCAAATAATAACAAATAATTTTTATGTCCACATTCTTATTTGTTTTTACTTTGTAAGTTATGAAATGAGAAATTAATACTCCAGAAAGTGCAGTACACTGGATCCTATATTTAGTGTGCCTTCCTCAGCATAAACCTCTTCCTCATTTATTGTTCAGTTTGAATGGTCTTAGGTCAGTAATCTCATTAAATTTATTTGATTTAAGATTTTCCTCCCTGGTCCTGAAAGAAACCTTACTTGAGGGTTTCACTGAGTCCACATTGAACCTTGTGAGCGTACAGAATGCTGTGTGTTGCAGACTGATGAACAAGAGGTGATCACATTCCTTCTGACAACAGAAATCATCCCACTGTGTCTTCGTATCATGGAAAGTGGCTCTGAGCTCTCAAAGACGGTGGCAACGTTTATTCTTCAGAAGATCCTACTGGATGACAGTGGATTGTCCTACATCTGCCAAACATATGACAGGTTCTCACATGTCGCCATGATACTGGTTAGTAGTGCACAATGAGATTGTTGTGACTTGTTTTAAGATTGATCTCAGAGAAGTAGGATGAAGATAGGATGGAATGGTTTGATCTGGCTAAGGATGGAGACAGGGAGGGCTCTTGTGAACATGGGTCTGAACCTTCGGGTTTCATAAAGTGTTGGGAAATTCTTGAGTAGCTGAGCAACTGGCGGCTTCTCAAGAAAGGCTCAGTTCCATGGAGTTAGTTCATTACTCATTTACCAGCAATGTTGTGGAACAAGGTTTGGCATTCATCATGTGTCTGTGATTTGTTAAAGGTGTGGGACTCTTAGGAAAATAAACTAAGTGCCAACATTACTCCCTGTTTCACCGTTTTCTTTTAGAGCAACTCAAGAAACTGTCCACTTGCTTGCCTCTGATTCAGCTGCGTACCTTGCTTCATAGATGAAGTGGGTTTCTAAAACTCAGGTGGGAGTAAGATGGTAATAAAATCTACAGACGAAAACCCATCTCTCAAAACTAGCTCTATGAAATCTCATTACAAGCACTAATAAGAAAAATATCAGAGTAAAATGGCAAACATGCATTTAGTAACAAATTAATAATTGCAGCCATACTTCAGTATGTCATTAAGTAGATATATAAGAAGAAAACACAGGACAGAATATTCCTTAAAAACTTAATTATTTTGTGTTGCATGTGATGTTGGGGGTTAATGCTGGCGTTCTGAAATGAAGGACAGGTTTTCTTCTTTAATTGTGTGGCATTGCACTAATCACAGATTACGACCATCAGTTGGTGACCCAGTAGAATCAGTTTCAGGAATCAACAGATTTAAAATGCCTGTTGGTATGCTTTATGTCCTATGTCAGGCATATCCAACACATTGATCACGGGACGATTTTTGGTAGATCTCATAGGCCTATAAAGAAATTATATATGAAAAGCGTGTAAATTCACTTGTAATATAATATGATTATATTCAGATTTTTAAGGGAAAATACACAATATGATCATTAAAAATGCAAATTTTTCACTGAAGGGGAATTTGTAAAAGAGTGTTTTCTTGAAATAGCTGATAATCTTTTTGAAGGATTTAAAAATACTTTTGATCACTTTCCTAATATGCAGGACAGTTTGGAAAAATCTCCTAATTTTGTTTTTCAGACAGAGAAGTACGTGACCAGAATCTGTTCTGTTATCCAAGATGTCGGAAATAGATTCTGTGACTTCCAAAAAATTAGAACAGCTGTAGAGTACTTGTCATTCCCGTTCAAATCAGATTTAAACATTAAAGAAACTGCAGCTACTCTCTGTGGAAATTACCCACTGAGCAAGGCATCTCTTGAGAATGAGATATTAACCCTTAAAAGTGACATTTTTCTCAAGACTCTTGCTGGACAATAATCATTTTGGAAGTTAGTACCTAGACAGAAATTTCCCAACTTAAGAAGATGGAGCAAAATTGTACACTCCTGCTTCGGTTCAACTTATTTGTGTGAAACTGCGCTTTCTTACCTAAAAATGAGAAAGAGAAAACAACTCTCCAACATGACAGGTGAACATCTCCAGGACTGCCTGAAACTGGCCCTCACCCAATACTCACCTGACTTCCAACATCTGGTGGATGAAATGCAGACCCAGATGTCTCACTAATGAACAAGTCTGTGCTTTCAGTGTACGAGGAATGTTCCGTATATAATGCCTCCTATTCTTTTTAATGACAACTACAACAGATACAGAAAGTGTAATAATGCAGTTAATTAGAGCAAGGTTTCAGCTACTTACAGTTATTTTTCCACATAATCACCACCATTCGTTATGCACTTTTGCCAGCGATGAACAAGAGCCTGTATGCTGCGCCTGTAAAAGTCTGCGCCAGCAGAGGCTAGCCACTTTCTTA